TCAAATATTTTCGCTCGCTCGCGATTTGTCAAAACGACTCACGTGACAGAATACGCCGCAGCTAAAATTGGGGAATATTCGAGTGATTTTCGCCAATTTTCAAAAGATCCCGCGTGTTGCGAAAATATCTGAGGGATAATAAATACAATAGCCTCCACTTGGCATTGAAAATAGCACTCGGTTTTCCACAGTTCTCGGAACAGAAAATGTCCGCAGACAAATATCAGAGCACAAATATCAGAGCAAATTTCAGAGCATATTTTCGCGCCAAGTAGAAGATATTATTTATATAGTACTTCTTTCTTTTCCTCTCTGCCGCCTGATTGTTGGGACAACCTAAAAAAATTCTGAGGGGTACCTGAGGAGAAGACGTATTCCATTCGGGAGGGGTCTACTCACTAGGATACTGGGATTAAACACTGACATTAATCATAAGTCAGGTTGATAGATTTTATTAAAACTTACTGAATGAGATTTGCTAAACAGGACTGGCAATAAAAATGTCCACAGCTTGTCTGCATGGCCTCTCTTAACAGCAGCTCACAGGAGCTGCAAAAGTACTTGTCATCAATGGTTTTCTTGTCCAAACTTGCTAAACGATATCCTGGCATTCTTAAGTCGCTCTTCCTTTCCTTCTATTTATTTCTGTAGAAGCGTGGAACTGGCACCGAAGTCAAAAGGTCATAAAACTTTGTCCGTTGAATCTCCAACTGCACAAGTCTGTTTCCACTGACTCTGTCGTCTGGTATCACTTTTGACTAAGGTAACTAGAATAAGAGAAATAGAGGATATTACATGGCCGCGCGGAGATACGAAATTTCTCTTCTCGTGTTGAAAAATATTTCACTCGTTCGCTGCGCTCACTCGTGAAATATTTTTCAACGCGAGAAGAGAAATTTCGTATCTCCAAGCGACCATGTAATTTTCTTTTTATCATATAAAATCCCCATAATACATACACACTGCGTTTTTGACGATTTTCCGAAGACTTCCGACAATTGTTCGAAGATTTGAGAAGATTCTCATAACGTTGTCCGAAGGCCACAAGAACGTTTCCGAACATTTCCCGAAATTGTCAGAAGATTAACAGAGATTGCCGAGGACTTCTGAGAAAGATCTGAAGATGTTTCGATCATATACCAACAGATTTAAATACAGTTCAAGGGTAAAAAATGATATCAGTTTTGATATCACACATATGTCGATAAAAATGATATCTTCACATTTGGGATAGCGTTTTCATCGATTCCTACCGCTCTGTATACCACTGAATTTTATATAACAAAACGTATTTTCTTTTGTTATGAATACGTATCACCGGGGTTATCAAACTAGGCAAGCTTTTTGCCTTCAAGACCAGCTGCTAGACAATGCGTTGTGACGTCAATCTATTTTTCACAATGGCGTCACAATCTGGATGAATATCTCAACGTTTATTGGCTGCGCCCAATCGTCAGGCTAATCAAACACAATTTTTAACTCACGACACTGTACGACAACCTATAATGGCCGTAGACGAGGGTAGGACCTATTTGTACTACACTGACAAAGCAATGCACACGCGCATCTTGTTGAACAATTTAGTATTAGACGTACTTTGTTGATCTACCTAAGGACTCTCAAAAATATCCAGCTTTACCAAACGTGGAACTGGCTAGAACATGCATTTTATTACATCTAAAGACACTGAATGAAATCTTTACTTAAATTTAATCATGTAACGTACGCCAAGTCATATTTTATCCGACGTTAGCAGAATTCTACCTGTACTCTAATACAAATGCTGCATCTGATTGGTTGAGCTACTCGCATACTATCAGCCATTACTGAGTGCAGTGGCTGGAGGTCGTCTACATAATGACAACGTTTTCTACTTTTTCTAATGTTTTGAGGAAGGCTTAGAAATATCAAGGGATAATTTAATTCTCAAGAACACTAAAGCAAGGAAACTGACCATTATGCAAAATTTCTCAAAGAGCCGATGAGCGCACGAGCACAACTGTAAGTCTCAAAAAAGCAATTCAATCCGCGCGATTTTGCTAGAGCATGAGGTTTAATACTACGTTGAGAAATTATTGGAAATCGTTATTTGAAGGAAATCTAGTTAGAATACTACTAAAACAATTAGATTGCGAGCTCGAGATTTCTATGAGGTGATAGTTGATTCTGCTTTCGGCCTAATCAGCTATCTCCTCATAGAAATATCGAGCTCACAATCTAATTGTTAATTGGCAGCCACTCAGCCGTGCTCTATTGGAAATTCGCGAATCTGATTGGTTCTCTCATTGTTTTCTCTTTAAGAGTGCCTGCCTGTAAAAATCAAACAAATTCTTAATTTCGCGGCAAGGGTCGAAAATTCGATTTCTTTCATACTCTTATGGTAGATAGGCTAGGGCATGACAAAAACTACTGGATAGTTTTTTTGGCAAAATATCCTTTTATTTCAAAGAAATATGCAAATTACCAAATTCC